GTTTCCTTATCTTGCAACTCTATTGATGATAATTTGTACCTTACTTATAAATCTTTGTTTGCTTTGTAAATGCATTTTAAGCAAAGATCTTAGTTTATGGACAAAGAATTTATGTTGTTAGATTGACAAGGTTTATTATCCACATGGATATACACATGGTCATAGTTTTATGGTTATAAATCGTTTCATCATCTCCTCGAAACGAGTTTGCAATCCATTAAACAAACTATTTTGTTTCGATTTTGTTCCAATGTAGGTTATCCAAGCTGAACTTTCGTCCATAACAATATATCCAAAACGCAAATCCACAACTATATGTCCATGGTTAACCATATAGACAATATCCATGGCAGTTTAGTAGTACTCCACAGTTTAGAAATTATGTTATCCATATAAACAATATAAAGACCAGGTGAACGTATGGATTAATCTAAAACTATATGAGCAACGTATGGACAATATTCATAGCATAAACACACATAGAAGAATAGTTAAGAAAGATGAGAAATAGAGTTACAAGTTTTATTTAGAAAAATTGTTATCCGTATGGTCAATAAAAGAATAACTAGAAGAGAGAAATAAAAGTTATCTACGTTCTCTTCGGACTGATACGTTGATTCTCCGTGAATCATGTGACATCCTAGACCCAAATTATGACCGTGAAGCCCACGTAATCGACATTTTATCCCAAGGCCTAGTTGACCCCGATGACTATATTAGTTGAACAATTGTAACCTGTTACTCTCCTCTTACTCGTGACTTCGATCATAGGATCCGAGCCGGCCTTGAGAACAGGTCCATGGACTTGGACCTCCAAAATTTTCTGATTTTTAATATTAAAAATATGTCTTCGAATTTTATTTTTTTTACAAAAATGCCTCCAAATTAAAAGTCTTTTTATAAACCCCCTAAAAATTTCTTTTTTTGTTTTGCCCCCAAAAATCTTAGGACCGGCATCGAGAGTGATCAGACGACCATCGCCAGAGGAAGAAGAGTCCACGCGTGACGGAGGGAGTGACCACCGATCTGGAAGCCACTGTTGATCCAAAATCCGTCCCCGGTGAAGTTGCGTGCACCGCTGTTGTTCGCAGAGGAAGAGAAACTCATCTTTCGTCGCCATCAAACCCAAAAGTCTTCGGTTCGTAAGGTGAGCGTGATTTGTGATCTCTATTATATAATTATGAATCTAGTTTCGGATGGATGTTTGGTTGGTGGTGAAACATGGAGCTAGTCTACGTTGTGTGTGTTTATGATTGCTTGATGGCATGCTTGATAATTACAGAAGCTTTAGGAAACTTGTTGACTTCATTATTTAATTATGTTTAGTGTCCGTAGGTAGAAGGTGATATTTTCTTATTCATATATTAAACAGAACAATTTAATATTGAAATGGTGGGTTCATGTCAATTGATCGTAGACTTAATTACGTAGCACACACGTTATGTGGGGTAAAATAGTATACACAATTAGTTGAATTAATATGGTGGATGAATTATATGACATAGAATATGAAGTCACTTAAAAGAATTATTATTGGGGATTTTATTGTGAAACGGCTACGGGGATTGGTGTTGGGCTATGGCAACAGCGGTGTTGAGTCATTAATATTATTGTAGTCGAATTGGCTTTCAAG